TTCAGAATGTAACTACATTTACTTAATTATTACTATTTAAAATATTTGTATAAAGTTATTATGTTATTATGATATTTAAATTGGAGGGTTACGGCCGGTCATCAACAGTTAGTTAAATATAATTAAATTTAATAATCTTACTCATACTAATATAATAAATGCGAAATTTTAGATGGATTTTTGTTAGAATTCGTAGCCTAAACTGCTTAATGTATCTTGATGAAAGTTGGCATAAATGTGAAGAATAATCTGGAAGAAATAGGTAACTTATTTTTATTCCACTCGTACGAAATCACAGGCGAAAGCTAGTTTATAATAATCATCTAATTTAGAAGTCAAGTAGATTATTTTGGTTTAATTATTTTGTTGCATAAATTAAGTTTGAAAAATTATTTGACATTTCATGTTTCACTTACCGTGCAAATTGAAAGCATTATTATTAGTTTTAATGATTATTAAAATTAAAATAAAACGTCCATTATACTAATCACTCTGCGACTCAATGACGACGAGTTTTTTTTACATTCTACAAGATATTAGTGATTTCATAATATTGTGTATTTTGCTTGTATTTCACAATAATTATTTTATGCGATTTCATAGTTCGGTACCGACGTCACTCCTAGATTACTTCCTTAGTAAAATTGTTTTAGAATTTACTTAAGCTTTTGCCCGCGACTCCGTCCGTGTAGAATTAAAGAAAAAAACAAAATTGAGTAGCCTATGTGTTCTTCCAGACTATTATATATATCTATGCCAAATTTTATCGAGATCCGTTTAGGGTACAAACTCTAACAAATATCCATTCATCTAAACTTTCACATTTATAATATTAGTAAGATTTAATTGTAATTGTACTGCAGGTCACACAATCTGTGCTTTGGGCGACGGCGCGGCGTGGCCGGTGCAGGGCCTCATCCGCCACTTCCGGCCCGAGCTGGAGCGCCGCATGGCCGCCTACCAGGTCTGCCACGGGCCCAGCAAGGCGGAGAGATTGTACTAGGCACGCGCCTACGGACCAACAAATAAAGGCCACTTTTAGACCTAGGGCCTTTTTGAGACAAAAGGGTTTTTTGAGACATAAGACCTTTTTGAGACAAAAGGCCTTTTTGAGACATAATACCTTTTTGAGACATAAGGCCTTTTTGAGACATAAGACCTTTTTAAGACATAAGGCCGTTTTGAGACGTATGACCATTTTGAGACAAGGCCTTTTATGAGAAAAAGTATTTTAAACATAAAAACATGTGGTTTATGTAAACTAGTATGTATTCCAGTTATAGTAATAATTCTTATAAGTCAAAAACGTCGTTTTGTCTTAAAAAGGCCTTTGTCAATGTTAGGGCTAGAATGTGATAGAATACTTATTAATGTTTTATGACCTCAATAAAGGCAATTTTATTTTCTTGCAAAATAAATCAAAACCTCTAATCTCTGTTCAGAAACTTAAACCAGCTTAGTAAATAATTGTTTTTATATAAGCAATAAAGTTACTGGTGACAAGAGTTTCCGATATTTCCGAATGTATTTGTACTAGGATAATCTGTCGGTCATCATGTTTTTTTTTAAATAAATTTAATTTAATAAATGTTAAAGTTTTATTTAATTTACTCCATATCTCTAACAAGCGTCATGTAAAAATTCGCAATTCATACTTTTGCTGCGGAAAGTTAAAAAAAATAATTTTTTTTTTATATTATTTTTAATTTATTGTCTTTTATAAAATTAAACGACAATTATATAGATTAATTAAATAAATTATTTAGCAAGGATACGAATATTTTTATTTTATTTTTTCATCAATTTGAACAACAATCATTATGTTAAAAAATGCTTGAATTAAATGGTATAGGGTTTTTTTTTCTCAATAAAAGCCCTATTTGCGTAATATTAAATTAAATTATGCAACAAAGAAATATTCTTATCGATGTTTTTGCGTCGTAACATTTTGGCTTTTGTTCTAAAATTAATATCACCTTTATCGTTCTTTTTACAATGGTCATTGAATGCGTGGCAAAATGGATAAAAAAACTTGCTTGTATTTTCGTTATAAATATAGTTTTTCAACGTTTAGTTCACGTTTAATTTCCCGTAGTCATAGTTTTTCTACGTACGAAATTATTTCAAGTATGTTTTATTTTGTATAGTGTAAAAACAGTTATTTAAAAAAATGCATAGATTTTTCAACATCTGTGTTAGTTTTTAACTTATCAAAAGTATATAAAAAGCAGTTAAACGTTACGCAATTCAATTCCAAGCAAGCAAGAATCAATTCTTTTTTGTTTTTCTTAAATGAGCAGATGGTATAAGCTAACTGGATTGACAACTGGCAAGTTTTTTGTCGTGTGCCTGCGACAAAATAAAAGGTGTATATCTATGGTGTTAGCTCTTGGTCTACATATGTTGACCATAAACTCGTGTCCATAGTTCATTCTATGAGAATTGTTCAATTTAGTTTTAGTTTTCTCAGTTTGAATTTAATTTAGTCTTTTGTTACCAATTGTTGTAAAAAAGCTGCACATAAGTGCTCTTCAAAATTAAAAATATTTTCTGATTCAATGAGTTCATTCTTAGGGTTCGGTGGGGTTAGGATTTATTAATAAAAGTATTGTATATTTTTCTAAATTATTTATTCCCTCTATTACTCTTTCTTTTTTTCTGATAATCTTAAAATATCTTAGCTCTATGTACAGTTTGCATAAATTAAAGTACTTTTATAATTTACAGTACGCTAGTATTGTACAAATCACTTTCAGCAGAAAGATTGACTACCTACTGCAACACTATCGATACACGATAGTAACATTGTACAAATTCACAGAATTATAAATAAACAAAAAATGACAAAAAAAAACGATTTCTCGATTTAACAATGCGCGGGATAACATGTCTCTCGATTTTACAATTCTTGATTTTATAACATTTTATGATTTTAACAATATTAAATTTGATTTAAAAAAAAATGAAAACTCAACACCAAGTACCAAATGAGACATCAGCGACGCGTTGCCCGCTCGGAGACAACAATAATAAATTAGTTTTACATTAAATACATGGCACTGACCAAATTCTACACCGCATTCGGTACGTGGTGATGCGAATTTTATTTGTGCTTTCTAATACAATAACAAAAATTAATTTAGTATATGCCGAATAATCACAATCAATAAAACAAATATAATCAAATAATATGTATAGAATGGAAGCAACACTTGCTCGCCGGTCGCAGCGTCGGCGCAACGCAATGGCAATCGTAACGCTAAATAACATCGGTGGAGATCACAATTACACGATATAACTTCTTTTAAATATAAATACAAAATATACATACCTAGGCGATTACCTAAAGTTTTAGACAACTTCAATGCAATATATCCATCTATATTGGTGTGAAATTGATATGATTAAGTTAGGCTTAACAGGAATCATTTGTATAGTGCGGGAGCTCACATGGATCTCGCTCACTCGAGGATCACAAGTACGCGATATCAGTCTCACTTTTCTGTCATTACCTTACCATAGCTGGTACAAGCTGAGCGTCGCCGCAGACCTCGGCCTCCCAGCTCCTACTTAAATAACGTGCAGGCGCGGGCCAGCCGCTGCCGCCTCTCACTACACTCCGTACTAGGCCGGATCATATAAATATCAACAGATTACAGGATTTTCTCATCTAAAGTTCATTAGTGTCATAAAATGACTAATTTGATGATCGTCTGCGGTTGAATAGTTGACATCCGTCGGTTGCTATGCGCGATGGGGGATGATGTGTGTTAGACGCAGTCTGCGAGGTCTATGTCGGGCACGAGGCGGTCGAGGCAGGCGGCGGCGCGCGGCGGCAGCTCGTTGCGCGGGTCCCGCGCCAGCCAGGGGTGGCGCAGCACGTCGCGTGCGCTCAGCCGCTCGCACGCCTCTCGCCGCAGTAACGACCTGATGAGGCACTTGCCGCGTGACGACAAGCACTCCGGCACAACGAAGTACCCGCGGGAGATCTTCGCAAATAGAGACGCGTGCTCCGAATCGTTGAACGGATATCTGTAACAAAAGGAAATTATTATCAACAACTGTCACCTGGTGATATATCCTTGAACGATAAGATAAGGAAGATTTTAAGCTATTTAAAACACCGGAGAATTTTTTTTCTTCGACCCTCATCGTTTTGAAGCGATAAGATCATTAAGGCCGACATTATCGGGAACATAAACTGTTGCGTTTTTGTGAAGCTCGGCACCGAATTAACGAACGCCCGAATCTGATTGTCATTCGTGGAGTCGGCGGAGGACGCGGCAGCTGCGCGCGAACTACAAAAACTCAGGTATGATGAAACCCTTCCGGCGACAGGTGAGGCGAACGATTGCGGCGAAATCCCGGGACTCGAATTTTAAATTACGGGTGCCGGGGGAAAAAAAACAAAACAAAGGTATCGAAGGGCAGGTGCGTGCGAGGGAGTGCATCGAGGGCGGATCAACGTCTTGTACACATGACCGCGGCAGGTGCGGGAAGATTTCACGAGTCTATATGTGGGTGATACAATCGGCGACCGTTGGCGCGTAACGGCCGACAGGTGACCGTCAACGGTCGCGGCGACGTCCAGACGAACGGTAAGTCCCACGCTCGCCGCCAGCTGAAGACGCCCACCCTTCGCCTTAATTTATGCTTTTAATTGCACTAACCCATTTGTTTACGATGATTAGGGTGAGTTACAATTTATGGCATGCAAAAGGCTTGTTAAGAAATACTTGCAGTAACGGACATGTTTCTATTAAGGGTTTATAACTTATCACGCTTGTGTATTCGATATTATTATTCAAATGGCTTCACAGTATGCAATTCCCTAAGCACATAATAATACAATAATACACACCTTCCTACGAGCATGGTGTAGAGAATGACGCCGAGGGACCACATATCAGCGGCGCGGCCGGAGTACGTTGTGTGCGCGCGCAGGATCTCCGGGGAGACATACGCCGGGCAGCCGCGCTTGTCTTGCAGCAGGTCTTCTTCGGGATCATCCAGTACCACCGCATCTTCTAAGGATTCCAGTTTTAACGTTGTTCTGTAACAAAGATAATTTATCATTAGTTATCGATAGATATTAAATACAATACAGTTAAAAATGTAGTTTTCCGATTGACTAACAATGTTGTATGTAATTTTAAGTACCTAAAAGATTTCCAACGTAACTAAGAAACAAACATTTGCGTCAAATATGCTTCAGTTAACAGTCTGAATGCAGTAAATCAACATAGATAAGTATCATGTAATAATGATCACTTATAATAAATGATAGTAGTGATAACAATAACAATTAACACTATGTAATACGACCCCGCATTCGATCCCGGGCCGATGACCCGATAATCGCAAATGATTCGCCACCGCCCGTCCGCAACCGCGTCCCTTTGTAACAAAGCGAAGCACCGTACATCGCGACTATCAATAATAAATTAAATATAAATGTATATCAATGAATATAAAAAAGTAATAAAGAAAGGAGTTTTCATTGATTTGAATTTAAGATATTAATTTGTACGTTACTGTACTTTGCTTATAATAAACACGTAAGGGCGATGTTTCTGTGACACATTGTTGGTTGCATGTTTTGTCATGTAAATAATTGCGTGTCGAACCATAAAGTTGTGACGCAATAGGTTTTGTTTCATCACACTGCGAGGGGGACAGAGGGGGGACAGGCGCGGCCTCGTGGCGGCTGTCGCATCATTTCGAAATGCATTTAATGCAGTACAAAATCACAATATATTGAATGTTATCTAAATATAAACATCTGTTAGAATAGTTTCTATATCTATTCTGTCTAAATTTAAATATTATTTGATATTCATTAATCTAAATAAAAAAAAATGTTTTTATTTTTCTAACAGTTTTGTAATAAGTTACTGGAATAAAGGATAAATTACTAATACTAAGAAAAACTTTTATATTCATAATATTATTGTTAAAAGTTAACCATTTACCGGTCTGACTTGTAATGTAGGAATGCGTGTTAGTTATGTTTTCTTAGAATGACGCGGACGTTAAACATTGTCCTGTAACTTCTGCACATTGTATTGGTGGAAGATATTAGCAATATTCTATTCCTCTAAGTACGTTTTCCATAACTAAATCGGTTTAAAGAGAACCATGTGAACAAGGACAGGCTATTTTTCGAATTCATTAGATAGATGCCACATTGATTCCCAAACAAAATGTAAATCGTTCACAGACAGGTGTGTCGAGTTTCAAAGTAAATTCGAAATACTCAGTTTATATTTGGATCGTTTTAAAATACCCCCAAAGGGGCGCCGGTTAATTTAATGTTACGGCGAAGGGCTAATCTATTTTAGTCGACAAAAATCCATTACGTGCCATTACAGCATCAAAGCGTGTGAAGCTTTACAAACTCCATTCGAAACTTGGATTGCACGAAACTTGCGAGATCGTTGCGCGCCGCCAAAGCTCGCAATAAATATAAAGTTTGCTCAAAGCGCTGTTACTACACCGTCTGCGGTCTACACTATTTCCACTAATCTCTACGTAGTCCGGGACACTATTACAAATGTTACGAGACTATTGCGATTAGCATAACTCAGCGACATTACTGAAGCAAGATAAGGTGATGGTGATTTATTATTGATATTATATTTATGAGCTGGACCGTGACAGTATGGCCCGGCTGGCACTCGTTAAAGGTTACTCTCGTTAACATCGTGTGTCGCAACTCGGTTATTGAGAACTTTACGCTTTGAATGTAACTATGCCTGTCGTCGAATGTTACTTATATTTCGGTAGTCATTTGATATAAAACAAAGTATACGATAGCTCTAAATGTCGGCAGTGCATTCGGCGGTGTAAGGGCGTCGTCCTCGTATCAGATTTAGCGGCGCCTGCGCAACAGCTCCTAATTAAAATCCGCTGCAGCGGCGGCGTTGCGCGGCGAGCGCGAGCGCGGGTGCGACGTCTGCAGCCGCGAT